CCCAGGAACCTGACATCTGGTAGGTGCTCCACAAAGACTTGTCGAACAAGTGAGTGGGTGGAGCCAGATTGCCTGGGCTCTAGTCCCAGCCTCTTACAGGGGCTAATTCCATAACCTTCCCATGGCTCAGTCTTCTCATCTGTAAAATGGGGAAGTTCACGGAACCAGTCTCATAGGGTTATAAACTAAATGAATTAATACAGTGCTTAAAATAGTTCTGGATCAAGGTAAGTTTTTCAGTAAGCTCTAAGCTATTAATATTTGCAAGCTCAGAATCAGAACACTTGAGATGTAGACATAACAGTCTGTTGTAATAGAAACTAGAAATGTAACTTATAGTAGGTAAGTCACTCTTCAGGTCACTGGTTTCACTCCCTCCCTTCCACCCAAATTGACCCTTCTTTCTTGGCCTAGTTTTTTCCTTGGATCTTCCATAACACCAGACACTCCTGGTTTTCCTCCTACCTCAGTAGGCATCTCTTCTTAATCGCCATTGTAAGAGCCTTCTCTGTTTATTCCACCTTTACTTTTTTTTAATGTTTCAATTTGAAATAATTACAGATTCATGGGAAGTTGCCACAGAGAAGGCTCACATACCCTTCAGGCAGTTCCCTCCAATGGTAACATCTTCCGTAACTGTAGTAAAATATTAGAGCCAGGAATGTGGCATTGACCCAGTCTGCAGGGCTTGTTCAGATTTCATCACCTTTATGTGCTAACCTTAAAGTGTTTGTGTATGTGCGTGTGTCTGTGTGTATGTGTAGTTCTATGCAATTTTGTCACCTGTTTAGTTTTGCGTAATCACCACCAGAACTGCTCCATCACCACAAGGCTTCCTCATGCTACCTCTTTATAGCCACCATCCCTCCCAAACCCTAAACCCCGGCAGTCATTAATCTGTTCTCCATACCTGTAGTTTTATCATTCAAGAATGTTTTATACATGAATATGTCACCTTTGGGGATTATTTTTTTTTTATTCAACATAATTACCTTGAGATCCATCCAAGTTTTGAGTCAATTATTAGTTGATTCCTTTTTATTGCTGTGTGGTTTTCCATGGATAGATGTAGCACACTTTGTCTAACCAGTCACCCTTTGAAGGACATTTGGGTCATTTCCAGTTTTTGGCTATTATGAATAAAACTCCTATGAACATTCATGTCTGTATACAAAATTGTGTATTGTATGACCATAAGGTTTCATTTCCCTGGGTAAATAAATGCCCAGGAGTGCAGTTGTTGGGTCATATGTTAAGTGCATGTTTAGCTTTTTAAGGAACTACTGAAAAATCTCCCAGGGTGGCTGTACCATTTTACATTCCTACTGGCAATATATGAGTGATCCTGTTTCTCTGCCTTGCTGGTATTTGGCACTGATACTTTTTATTTTAGCCATTCTGCTAAGTGTGTAGTGATAATCTCATTGTGGTTTTAATTTGCATTCCCTAATGGCTAATGTTGTGACCATCTTTTCATGTGCTTATTTGACATCTGTATGCCCTCTTTGATAAAATGTCTTTAAATATCTGTTGCCCGTTTTCTAACAGTTTTTTTTAACTGTTGAATTTTGAGCATTCTTTACATAGTCCAGATCTAGGCTTTTGTTGAATATGTGGTTTATAAATATTTTCTTCCCGTTTTAGCTTATCTTTTCTTCCTCTTAACAGGGTGTATTAGTTTCCTATGGGTGCTGTAACAAATTACCGCACACTTGATAGCTTAAAACAACACAAATTTATTCTCTTATGGTTCTAGAGGTCCAGAGTCCACACTGAGTTTCACTGCGCCAAAACCAATTGTCAGCAGGGCTGTGCACCCTCTGGAGGCTTTAGAGGAGAATATGTCTACTTGCCTTTTCCAGCTTCTAGAGCGACATTCCTTGCTTGGTTCATGGCTCCTTCCGCCATCTTAAAAGTCAATAGCGTAGCATCTTCAACTCTCTTTCTCTGCTTCCATCATCACAGTGCTTTATACTTTATGTGTCAGATTTCTCTCTGCCTCTCTGATAAGTACACTTATGACTGCATTTAGGGCCACCTGCATAACCCAGGGTAACTTTCCTGTCTCAAGATCCTCAACAAATGCTTCATGAATGAAAAAATGATTTGTCTCTCTTGTGTACCCCAGGTTATGTGTCATCCTAAGCTTATTTTATTTTGTTTTCCTTCAATTAATTTTTTATTTTTGTGAAGACAAACAACACAAAGGAAAACTGATCAACATATTTGAACAGAAACTTCACAAGAGATATCCAAATGTCAGTAAACTTACGAAAAAATGGTAAACCTCTTAACTCACCAGGGAAATGAAAATTAAAACTACAAACACTACCTCATATCCATCAAAATATCCAAAATAAATAATATTAACAATTCCAGTTGTCAGTGAGGATGTCGAGCAACGGGAACTCTCACACACTGTTCATGGGAATGTAAATTATTACAACCACTTTGGGAAACTGGCAGTATCGTACTAAAGGCAAGCACACACATAGCCTCTAACCCAGTAAATTTACTGTTAGGTATATACTCAACAGAAATTAATAGTACCTGAAGAGACAGGTATAAACATGTTGCTGGTATTTGGCACTGATACTTTTTATTTTAGCCATTCTGCTAAGTGTGTAGTGACAATCTCATTATCACTACATTATTATTAGTAATAATCAAGAAGTGGAAACAACCCAAACATCTATCAACAGATTGTATAAGTAAACTGTGGTATATGCACACAAAGTAATATAGGGCAATGAAAGTGAACTACAGTTACAGGAATGAACATGGATGCAACTTAAAAACATATGTGAAACAAAAGCAGCTAGAAACAAAATATATACGCCGTGAGTCCATTTATATAAAGTTCAAAAACAGGAATAGTTAAGTCAGAATAGTGATTTAAGCTTACTTTAAATTTCATTCTTTGTGCGATGATTGCCTTAACTGCGCCAGTACTTAGTCTCCACCCTCCGCAGCTGTCAGTCCTCCTCCTGGCTTTCCTTTCTATAGTAGCCTGTGGTACATTTGTATATTTATTTGTATATAGTCACCAAACCTTGGAACTCTTCAGTCTTTCAAACTTTGCATAAACTGGGTATACTTTAACTGTTTTTACAGATCTGGGACAGCACTAGCCTGTGGGTAGTTCATGACACAATTCTGAAGAATGCGGTCTTATTCAGATACTGTCTGTTTACACCTCTCCATGCCCCAGCTCTATCCCACCACTCCAGATGCTCCCACCACGTGCCTCTCCTTTCAGCACTTTTGGCCAAATGATAAGTGTCAGTTGAGCAAGCTTGAAGCAGCTAAGGAACCCATGCTGGCATTATGATAGGACATTATTGCTACTGTAAATAGTGTAGCTGGGAGCAAGAGGCTAGTGCAGGAGATAGAACACACTGTTTTCAGCTAAGTCTTCAACTTGGCACTTTATATGCCCTATGGTGTGTGAAAATACCTCCGCTTAAATGGGAGTCTTGTCTTCCAAAGGGCCTTCCGGCCTGCCAAAGTAGGAAATGCTGTGCCTTTCTAGAAACAGCTGTACTTGGGATTTTTAATTGTAGTGAGGTGGCAATGATTGTATACTAGTCCAAGGGTTGCACCCGTTTAAGGTTCTCTCACCTGTGGTATCAGGGCATCCCAGAAGTAACCTGCCTGTTTTTGCTGTCTGCCTGAAGAAGTATTCCTTAGCTGTCCTGGGCCCCGGAGCTGCTGGGGTTCCCTGAGCCATAGCGCTAGAAGAAAAGTGGGCAGCCTCTGATAGAGGGGAGACTTTGCAAATATAATAATTGGTTTGCCGTTCCTGGGATGGTGATGGAACTATGCCTAAACTTATTTTTCTCTTTTGTGTTTTTCAGTTGAGGTATACTTCACATACAGTGAGATGCACAGTTCTTAAATGTATTGTTCACTCAGTTTTGAGTGATGCAGACATCTGTGTAAGCCACATCCTTATCAAGATAAAGTTTTCCCCACCACAGAAAATTTCCTTGTGTCTCTTTCCAATCTACACATCCCCTTTCATGAAGCAACCACCGTTCCAATTTCTTTCATCCTAGTTCAGTTTAGTCTGTTCTAGTCCTTCACATGATTTGTGTTTGACTTCTTTTACCTTAGCGTGTCTGAGATTCATCCATGTTGTTGTGTGTATCAGTAGTTTGTTTCTTTTTATTGTTGAATAGTATTCTATTGTGTGAATATGCCACAGTTTGTTTATTCATTCTTTTGTTGCTGGGCACCTGTGTTATTTCCAGAGTTTGGCTATTATGAATCAAGCTGTTATGAACATTCTTTTACAAGGTTTTTTGGTGGACATATATCCCCTTCTCTTAAAGAAATACTTAGGAGTAGAATAGCCTATATGTTCACAGGCTATATGTATGTTTACTTCTTAAAGAAACTTCCAAAATGTTTTCCAAAGCAGTTATGCTATTTCTTTGTATAGAGTGCTCCTAAACTTTTATTGTCTCACTTAGAGCAGAAGTTGTGGGCACAGAGAGATATCCAGTCTGGTTACCTTTATGCTGTTGGAACTCTAGAGGATATTTTCTGTAATTTTTAAAGAAACAAAAAAATAAGTAGAATTTCAACAAGGAAAGAATTTTAATAAAAGATTTATAAATGTTACTTATTCTTTACCTCTTTGCAGATATATACACTATCTCAGAAAAGGTGCATAGACCCTGGCAATTAAAAAAAAAGAGTCAATAGCAAAAAGAGTCAGTAGCAGTCTTTCGATTACTTCTGCTTCCAGTGAGAAGAAAAACGTCAGGGGACTCAGGACGCATGAAGGGGATTTGTTCCTGAGTCTCCTTAATATGGATACGATAGAGAACAAAGGCACTAAATCCTAAAGTATGTTTGAGAAAAGGGAAGGCTGACCTGCATTTCTTTGGTCTGGCGTTTGTACATGTGTGTACTGCTCAGGCTGCATCTTTTCTCTCCTACCATCTTCTCATGTTTTGAACATTACCTCTTAGATTTCCCATTTTGTCTTTCAGGCCAAAGAAGCCCTAGAAAATATTGAGGTTCCTGTTGGCTGCCTTTTGGTCTACAACAATGAAGTTGTAGGGAAGGGAAGAAATGAAGTTAATCAAACCAAAAATGTATGTGAGTTGAATAGTATAATTTCAGACATATGGAAGTGATGGTAGGTGTGGGATGAATTTATTGGAGTTGACTAGAAGATGGGTCTGTGTAGAGTCCCGTGAGTATCAATGGAAGGATGGTTTCCCTAAACATCTCTTTTTTTGAATGCCCTTTTTTTCTGATTATAAAAGTGATACATGTTAATTTTTTAATGAAAATTCTACTTTATAAAACACATCAATTTAATTCATATCGTACCCTTTGGTACCTTTAAATAGTGTATTCCTTGTGGTAAATTAAAAAGTCACCCTCAGTTGATAGCTATGGAAGTATAAAAAGATTGTATAAAGGAAGCTATTCCTAAATCAGATAATTCAGTGAAATACAGTCTCCACCACCTGCTGTCTCTATCTACAGGTACACTTTAAAAGCTTGTGTGACTTTAATTTATTGTGGTTAGGTTGAGAAGTTCATGAATTAAGGCAACACTTCCTGAACATGGTATCACAACAGTGTGTCACAGTGAGTATAAATGAAGTGTCAAGTTTTAGGATTATAAAAAGTGCTAGGTGGACCCAAGGATAACTTATGACTTTAATACCCCTCACACAGACCTTGATCTTACTTGGGAGCCAGAGAACAAGCTGGTGTTGGAACTGGTGCTGTGAGGACTTTAAAGTTCATCCATCACATCTATCAAAAAGAAAACTCAGATTTAGTGAAACACAAGCAAATTAGGAACCCAGATTCACGAAGCAATTGTTATGTGGATATCAAAATGTTTATGAGATAAGTAATAAACCGTAATACAGCAATTAGTGAATATACAGATACTTATGCAGGAGTGGAATTTTGTGTTTTAAATAATTGTCATATCTCTGTATGTGTATTTTGTAGATCAGTACAGTATCTTTAATGTGAGATCATTGAATGTCCTAGCAACATCCATCTAAACCCCCAGTGAACTGGGTTGCTTACACACCTTGAAATTAACCTGCATTTATTTTTAGTTTTCTATGCTCTATAGAAGATTACCCTATAATCATAGTATAGAAAGACTCTTGACCCCAAATGAGGAGACCCGAATCCTACTTTTGGTTCTGATACCATCACCCTCTGTCACCACCACCATCACCTCTCCCAGCTGTGTGTCTTTAGTAACCTCCTAATGTAGCTTAGCTTCTGATTCTTCAGCAGTAAAAGAGTTGATTGAGATGATTTAGGTCAACGATTATTTCTTGAGAACTATGGGGACATTTTTTTTTTTTTTTTCCTTGCGTTATGCGGGCCTCTCACTGTTGTGGCCTCTCCCATTTGCGGAGCACAGGCTCCGGACGCGCAGGCTCAGTGGCCATGGCTCACGGGCCCAGCCGCTCCGCGGCATGTGGGATCTTCCCGAAACGGGGCACGAACCCGCGTCTCCTGCATCGGCAGGCGGACTCTCAAGCACTGCGCCACCAGGGAAGCCCCTATGGGGACATTTGATTCAGTAGTTCTGAATCTGATTTTTAAAAAGCACCCGAGTTGGGGAAACTTTTCTTTTTTAAGCTCCCCTGTTGGTGCTGGTATGCAGTCATGTGTGGGAACCTCTTTGCTAAAGCACCTTCCAGCTCCGAGTTTATATTAATTCTGGGCCAGCAGTGCTCCCATCTGCCTCTGGCTTCCATGGTACCTTGGCCACTGTGCCAGCACTTTCCACACCCTGCCCTATGTCACAGGTAAATGAACACCTTTCTGTTTGTCCCATCAAATTTTATGCTCGTTGAGGACAGAGACTTTTTTTCCCACAAAGAGTTTAGCACAGTGGCTTATACATAGTTGACATTCCATGTAAGTTTATTGATAAACATGATTATCATGAATATTATCAATAATTGTCACATAGCAGAGTGCATATATCACGTTATGCGTCATTGTGCTTCATATAATTCAGATCGCTTTATGAGATGTAGATACCAGTATTACAATGGGGAAACCAAGGCTTGGAGAAGCTATGTAACTTGCCCAGGGCTGTATAATCAGTAACGTCACAGTCAGGATTCAGATTGAAGTGTGGTTGATTCCAGACTATGTGATTTCTCCTCTACTCAACTACTCCCTTGAGGTATCTGAGACTGATACCAAATCTCTGCTTCTCTCTAGAGTCTGCCAGTATATAAAATCTCATCCCAAAGAAAATACAAGTGATGATATTCCAGTGATGACATTCTAAATATAGATTTGCTTAGAGTGAGGTCAGTGACAGCCTTGAAAACATATTCGTAACTGGAACATATGCTTAGGAAAATTTCAAGTGTCCCCTGAAATATTCAGGAACCATAAACATTTTTTTTTGTTTTTTTTTTGAGACTTATCTCTCTGTGGCATTTTAATTGAAAGAGTGTCCCCTAAAGTACTTAGGTACTTAACTAAAAATAGAAGATAATTCGTGTGGCATCTCAGATTAGGTGTCTTTTGTTGGTGAGGTTATGGTACTTGAACTAGGAACTACAGTGTCAACTGCTAAGGGTGTCCTGAAACCTTTATTTGCTAAAACGCTGGCAGAAATGATAGGCCTATTTTTCATATTTACTTTTGAATATTTGTAAAATACAGTTACATACAGCCAACAAGGTCAATGCAAGCACCTCTTCTTTCAGGCTACTCGACATGCAGAAATGGTGGCCATCGACCAGGCCCTAGATTGGTGTCGTCGACATGGCAAGAGTCCTTCTGAGGTGTTTGAACACATGGTGCTGTACGTCACCGTGGAGCCGTGTATCATGTGCGCAGCCGCTCTCCGCCTGATGAGTATCCTTTGACTTCATGGGTTAATGTCTCGTACTCTTCCTGTGAACTCGAAAATGGCCAAACATCATAGTAGAAACATAACCCATTTCTACTACATGAAAACAGAGACTTATGAAACAAATGATAGGAGGTGCACATTATAAAATACAGTATCCCTTGGCCAAAAAATTTTTAGTAAAGATTTTTGAATAATAAAATTACCTCATTTTTAATATCAATAAACATATAACTATTAAGTAAGCCAGAGCAAGAAACATATGACAAACTGTTGTGTAAAGATAAACCATAAATTAGATTATAAAACAGTGTGCATAGGAAAAGATCTGAAGACTATGCATCTGTTTTGCCTTTAGTGAAGAGATTATAGGTGATTTAAAATTTTTCTTTCTCTGTTAATATGTTTTTATTGTTTATTTTTACCATGAATACCTATTACATAGAAGGCTTGAAAAATTTTAAGTCAGAAGTAAATACAAAGTAAAAAACAAATCATTTATGATACTATAATTGTAAATAAATGGGAAATTGATAAAGTTACAGCTCTTTGAATTCTGTCTTTCACAGAAAAAGCGACACAAATACTGAATACAGCAAGTTAACCTCTAAAGATCTTTTAAAAAATTATTTGATAATTCAGCAACTCAATTTCATACTTGCATGTTTTTATGTACTTATTTTGCTGTGTGTGTGAATCATTTAATCACTTTAAAAATAATAGAGAGGGTTTTGAGTACGAAAATATGTACAATTTCCATTTTATAAGCTCTCTGCCCATCCTGCCTTACAGAGTGGCTCTGCTTTAGTCTGGTTTGTACTAGGTCACAGGTTGTATTTGTTTGAGGAAAGAACAGGGAAAAATCTATTATTTTTAAGAGGTGAAAATCCCTGGATTAAATTCCTGCCTCCTTTCTGGCTCCAATTCTCTAATGATTCCAAAAAATCATCTAGGAAAGATCAGAGAGAGCACCGAGCTCTGAGCATTCAGCAGCTACACAGTCAGTTTTCATTCCGTTTGCAGTGTGACACATTAGTTTCTATATTCTTTAAATCTCTTTCTTATGTGTAACTGGATTGTATAACTGGATTTTTAAGACGAAGCCTAAGTTTAATTATTTTTTAATAAGTGTGGCTGTTTTTTTGATAATTTATTTTTTGGCTACATTGGGTCTTTGCTGCTGCATGCAGGCTTTCTCTAGTTGTGGTGAGCGGGGGCTATTCTTCATTGTGGTGAGCGGACTTCTCCTTGCAGTGGCTTCTCTTGTTGTGGAGCACAGGCAATAGGCGCGTGGGCTTCAGTAGCTGTGGCTCGTGGGCTCTAGAGCACTGGCTCAGTAGTTGTGGCACACGGGCTTAGTTGCTCCGCGGCACGTGGGATCTTCCCGGACCAGGGATAGAACCCGTGTCCCCTGCATTGGCAGGTTGATTCTTAACCACTGCACCACCAGGGAAGTCTCAGTTTAATTGTTTTTAAGAGTAGCATGGCCTTTCCTCTCCAGGCTAGCTGGTATAAACCCACCCTAGTTTTGTCACGGTAGGCACTTGAACTGCACACTCTTTGTAGGACCTTAATTCTTCCTTAGAAATCCCGCTGGTTGTCTATGGCTGTCAGAATGAACGATTTGGTGGTTGTGGCTCTGTTCTAGATATTGCCTCTGCTGTTCTACCGAATACTGGGAGACCATTTCAGGTAACATGAACTGTTATACTTTTTCTTTTTTTCTAATTACTGTGATCTCACGATGGGCTTGCAAATAGTTAACGTGTGCTCAGTACACCAAGAAGCCATGCTAGAACCAGGTGGGCTCTTGGGACCTCTGGTCAAGGTCATTGATGCCTCAGTGTAAGACAACAGGTAATCACTTCCAGGTGAGTGCTCAGCTCTCTCTTTTTTTTTTTTTTTTTTTTTTTTTTGCGGTAAAGGGGCCTCTCACTGTTGTGGCCTCTCCCGTTGCGGAGCACAGGCTCCGGACGCGCAGGCTCAGCGGCCATGGCTCACGGACCCAGCCGCTCCGCGGCATGTGGGATCTTCCCGGACCAGGGCACAAACCTGTGTCCCCTGCATCTGCAGGCGGACTCTCAACCACTGTGCCACCAGGGAAGCCCTCAGCTCTCTTAATTAACAGAATCCCTCCAGAAGGAGAGTCCCCAGCCTTCTGAGTTTTCCTCTAACAGTCTTCACCCATGCCTTCAGCTATGTTTGAGGACCCTACCACTGTGGGCGTTCTCCATCCATGCGTATGCCTGGCTCCACGCTGTACCAAGTTTGTGTGAGGCTTGGTGACAGTAGATGCTATTTACAGTTAATGTACAATAATTTTGCACAAAGTCAGTCATTTTGCTTGATTGCCTTGTACTGTTTCTGGTGCCTAGCAATCAATACCTGTTTTCATTATTTTTTTTTCCTGCCTTTTTAATGTTGAAATTTCCCCCAGGCCCAAGAATCCACTTAGAAATTCTACTTTCCCTTTAACCTTGCCACTTCTCCCAAAGTTTTTATGTTTAAGGCTATGAACAGTAGGACTTTATATTTCAGCATTTGGTCTGTAGACAAATACCAGTTTCCATAAACTGGTTTGATTGTTTTTTTCTCCAGATGTAAGGTTAATCCTAAAAGTATTATGCTTTAAAAAGAAAAAGGACTTAACAAATTGCTGGACATGGTGGGTAGTTAACAACAAAGACCTCAGATATTCTTGGGAGAATATTAAGTGCCTATGAAGAGCAAAATTTGGTTGAATCCCACTGAGAACAAGATTTGGAAAACATTCTATTTTGAGTTTTGCCAGCTGAACATTGGCTTTCCTAACAACTCCTGCCCTTTTGAGAATAGATGACTTTTAACATCACATCAGAAAAGAAATTGTAATAGAATGATGGAGAGTAAGCAATACAGTTAGCTTGATCATTAAAAAAATCTGCAAAGTGATTTGCTTTTTCCAGTTGCTTCTGTCAGTAGCTCAGATTTTGCTTACATAACTCTTCGCAAGTGAATTGCTGACTCTACTTCATTTATGAGAAAGAGCTAACGAATTTCTTAAAGCTTCTGGGCAGAACAAATATGAGCTATTGGATATCAGACATGGGGGAACATTTTTGATCAACATGCCAGTGACATTGAGCGCACATCATCCTCTCCTGCACGTCTTTGCCCAGAATCCAACAGGATCTGGTTGAACCAAAAAATAAGTTCACCTGCAGTGTGTGTACCTGGCCACATTGGCTCCATCAAAATGAATGGCCATGGTTTGAAGCCACATCTCCAAATTTGATGCCAAAATATGTTTTTTTTTACAGTGTTTTGAGATTCTAGAGAAACTATCGATACCCCAGGCTTCTGTGTTTTCTACTTTTATTTGGTTGGCTTAGGTTGTGGGTAGGGGTGAGGCGGGAATTTGTGGGAGGTGGGATGCTGTTTTTGTATTGCAGAATTATAGATTCTTTTAATACTGTATTGTAAGCAGCATTAAAGTTCATAGAGGAGACCTACAGAACTATTCTTTTCAAAGAAGATGGTGATTAGTTTACTTTACCTGCCTTGTGTAAAGACAATATTTTAATTAAGAATATGTGCTTTTTGTTAAAGCCACAAATTTGTAGCTATACTAGATGCCCGAAAAGATTACCTTGGTAGCTTAGAGGGATCCAATTTCCTTCTCCACCTGTAACTCAGTGGGTCTGGTCCCTGAGTGCACATTAGAATCACCTGGAGAGCTTGGACCCAGGCCTGTGCTTGGTCCCCACCCCAGACCCACTGAATCGGAAGCCGTGGAGGGAGGGGGGAGCATTGGTATTGTTTTAGTGAGTTCCCAAGTGATTCCACTGAGCAGCCAAGGTGGAAAACCAAGGTTCTAACTTTACCTGAGAGGAGAGTGCTTTGGGCAGGTGGGTGCTCCTGAGACAATGAGGAGAGGTGGGGGACCCGAGGGACAGGAGCACTGAACAGTGTAGGAAACGCCGTACTCACCAGCATGGTTAGAAGCTGAAGTACTGAGAAGCCAAGCGAGGAGAGGGTTCAAAGGAGAGGCAGGTGTAGCCAGTAGCCTCCACGACTGCAGAGAGCTGAGGAGAGTGAAAAGACCAGTGTTTTGGTCAATAGGGGCCCTTGAGACCTCTAAGAGGGCAATCCTGGGAGCACAAGCCAGTGAGGATGAGGTTGGGGAGGAGCTGAGAGCCACAGAAGTGACGGCCATGATTCGGGAACGTTCTCTGGGAGGAGCAGGGTATCAGCTTGCGTGGGGGACAGGGTAGAAGGAAGATTATTGGGGTTTTTCCCCCCAGCTTTATTGAGATATAATTGACGTACAACATTGTGTGATTATAAGGTGTACAGTGTGATGATTTTTTTTTGCGCTACGCGGGCCTCACTGCTGTGGCCTCTCCCGTTGCCGAGCACAGGCTCCGGATGCACAGGCTCAGCGGCCATGGCTCACGGGCCCAGCCGCTCCGCGGCATGTGGGATCTTCCCGGACCGGGGCACGAACCCGCGTCCCCTGCATCGGCAGGTGGACTCTCAACCACTGCGCCACCAGGGAAGCCCCAGTGTGATGATTTGATGCATGTATATAGCAAAATGTTTATACCACAATAAGGTTAGTTCATACATCGTTCACTTCACATAACTACTATTTTGTTGTTGTTGTTATTACGTTATGGTGAGAACACTTAAGCTCCCCTCTCATAGCAACTTTCAAGCATACAATACAGTACTGTTCTCTATAGTCACCATGCTGGAACTTATTCTTATAACTGACGGTTTGTACCCTTTGACAAAAGTGTCCCCATTTCCCCTACCCCCTCCGCCCCCGTCAACCACCATTCTACTCTCTGTTTCTATAAAGAAAGTATTGTATGTATGGTCATATATATATATGGCTTAAAATATTATTCAGCCATAAAAAAAGAAGGAAATTCTGCCATTTTCAACAGCATGGCTGGACCTCAAGGGTGTTATGCTAAGCAAAATAAGCCAGAGAAAGACAAATACTGTATGATCTCCCTTACGTGTGGAATCCAAAAGCATCGAACTTGTAGCAGGTTGTTTTGATGGGGAAGGTTTATGCAGGCTTTGTGGGCCCAGGCAGGAGCCAGCTGAAGCACAGGAGAAAGGGAGGCTCATCTTGAGCAGTGGACCACACTCGCCAGCCCAGTGCTGGCTCCATCCTCTCCTGGGCACTGCTTCCAGGTGGAAGATTCCCTAGTATCTCCTCCATTCATTGCATCACTTCGTGCACCTCCAAAGGGGGCAGCGTATCAAGTCCAAACTCCCTTCAAAGCCCTATATATTTTGCCTTCGTTTTTATTGCTTTAATTTCTTTCCTTGCACTCCCTTAATAATCACCCTACCCCCATCAGTTGGTTTTCTCACTCACGACCTAAGCCTGTTCCTACTCTTTCACTGA